TTCTTAGGCTGTATAAGTAGGTCAGGTAACCTTGGGACACTGCAGAGCCTACAGGTCAGGCAAGTGGGAAAGCCTGGAGGACCTTAGTAGCAGTGGCAGATGCAGATGGTAAGACTTGGTGATCCTCCATCTCATCAGAAGGAAGGAGTTAATAGGCTTCCATCATATCCAAGCCCTGTGAGCCACTAAAGAGCTCAGGCAGAGGGGGAGGTAAGTAAGGGAGAGGATAGGTTCCCTAGGTGCTGAGAAGTCTGGCTTCCACCTGGAGTTTAGCATGAGTTCTGAGACAACCTGGGACAGCAGGAAGGCAGGAGCTTACCATACTGGTGGTGATGGTGGTGGTGGTGGTGGTGGTGGTGGTGAAGGATTTAGACTAGATCAGGGGTTCTTAACTTTTTTTTATGTCATGGAACCCTTTGACAATCTGGTAAAGCCTATGGATACTGCCTCAGATAATGGTTTGCTTGGTTTGTGTGTTTGGGGGTGCAGAGGAGAGTTTGAGGCAAATGGGGTTAAGTGACTTGCCCAGGGTCACACAGCTAGTAAGTGGCTGAGATCAGGTTTGAACTCTGGTCCTCCTCACTCCAGGGCCGGTGCTCTATCCACTGCATCACCTAGCAGCCCCTTCAGATAATGTTTTTCAATCTATCAGATAAAATACAAATGATTACAAGGAATTATACTCTCTGGGGCCTATTCAGACGAAGCATGGCCCCTTTGAGGACCAACCCTCAAACAGGGATAGTCCATCTAGAGTTATTTGAGCTTATACCAGTGTTATGTTCCAAATATCCCTCTCTTGTGTTCCAAATAATACTTTATCTCTCCCACCCCAGCCCCTTCCCAGGGCCTAACCTTAGTTAAATTCCCTACCCACATCCCTGCTCTAGGGCTTAAATGGATGATAGGAAAGTGACCATTGGCTCAAGTAATTGTACCATGACACATCCCCTCCCCCACCCTCCCAGCTTGGTAAAAATGACTTTGCACTAGGATCAATCCCACCCAGCCCCCAGACTCCTTCAGCCAGGTGATACTGGAGCTAGCATTCCTCCCTCTACATTCTTTTTGGGGGGGGGGCACCAGTGAGTGCGTCTCTCCTCTCTGTCTTATTGTCCCTTCGTCCCTCTTTGTCCCTTTCTAGGCTAGCAGCTAGGCCAATGAAATGAAAAGGGCTGGTTTGTATTGTGCAGGGTTGTGTCACAGAGGGAAGAACAGGAGGCAGAGCTGGGCAGGAGGATTTTCCATCGTCTGGCTGCTCTGGGCAGGCACAACAGCTGCGTGAGGAGCCGGGCCTCTGGGCTAGGGGGTGGGGGGGGGAGTTAAAGGAGTTTTTCACAGGGTGAGGCAGGGGAACAGCAGGATCTGAGGCATCTCTCCAACTCAGCTTTCAGTGGATCCAGAGGAGCATCGACTGAGGAGTAGAACAGCCTCATGGGAGCAGGGAGATAGGTTAGCTTAGTGGGTAAAACCTCGTGACTAAATATCTAGATTCAGGGGCAGCTAGGTGGTGCAGCGGATAGAGCACCGGCCCTGGATTGAGGAGGACCTGAGTTCAAATCCGGCCTCAGACACATAACACTTACTAGCTGTGTGACCCTGGGCAAGTCACTTAACCCCATTGCCTAGCCAAAAAAACAAAAACAAAGAAGAAAAAGAAAAAAAAAGTGATGGGGCAGCTAGGTGGCACAGTGGATAGAGCACCAGCCCTGGAATCAGGAGGACCTGAGTTAAAATCCAGCCTCAGATACTTGACACTTACTAGCTGTGTGACCCTGGGCAAGTCACTTAACCTCATTGCCTAGCCAAAAAAAAAAAGTCTCGATTCATCCGTTGACCTAATTGTTAAGTGTAGAGCTGGAAGGGACCCCAGAGGCCATGGAGTCCAACCCCTATTTTACAGATTAAGAAGTTGAGACCCAGAGACATTCATTTCCTCGCCCAAGGACAACCAGGCTACAGATCGGCATTCGAATCCAGGCGTTCTTTTCCCAAATCTAAGGCTCTTTTCATGATACTGTATCATCTCTCTGCTGGTCCTCAGTCCTCGTGAATTAGTGTTCTCATTTGTAACACAGGAGTAATTACTACGACCCATTCCTTATACTGAGATTTTATCTGTGAAGTGCTTTTAATTCCTAGGGGAAAAGTTGAGTATTGTCTCCTCAAGTTCTGCTCATACAATAATATATGGCATAGATACAGTCATTTCCTACATAGCAAAGTCTCCTGCATGAAGTAATGTGGCATATGAAAAATCAGACACTGACTGTGTATAACTAGAGGCTCCTTTCTTCACCAATAATCCTCTCATCTCACACCTTCCTGGCATTGCCTTCTCCCCACCCCCATTGTCTCCTCCTTTATTCTCATCTCTGAGGAGAAGGCCCTTTTGCATATCTGCCACCTTATTGTTGTTGAGTTATTTCCACGTCCAACTCTTTGTGACTCCATTTTAGGGTTTTCTGGGCAAAGATACTGGAGTGGTTTGCCAGTTCCTCCTCCAGCACATTTACACATGAGGAAACCGAAGCAAACAGGGTTAAGTGACTTACCTAGGGTCACACAGCTAGTAAGTGTCTGAGGCCAGATTTGAATGCATGAGGAGAAATCTGATTATTTTTTTCTTTTGGAGGCAATCGGGTTAAGTGACTTGCCCAGGGTCATACAGCTAGTAAGTATCTAAGGTTGAATTTGAACTCAGGTCTTCCTGACTCCAGGGTCAGTGCTCTATCCACTGTGCCACCTACTTGATCCCTCCTGTACTATCTAACCAATTGCCCCCCACCATTATCTGTACTCATTGTCTCTCTAGTCTTCAGTCTCTTCCCTTCTACTGGCTCCTTTCATGCTGCCTACAAACATTCCAGTCTCCCTATCCTTGTTGGAGGGGGGGAACCTTTCACTAGATCCTCCCATGCCCACCAGCTATCATCCTACATTTCTCCTTCCCTTCCCTGATAAATTTCTTGAAAAAACCATCTCTGCTCAGTGATTCCACACTCCTCTTACTTCTAAGCCTTCTGCCTTCTAGTTTCCAACCTCAACACTCAACTGAAATTGCTGCCTCAAAGAAAGTCTTAAATCTAATGGCCTTTTCTTTTGTGTGCTCTTGAAGCATCTGCCACTGCTGACCACCTGCCCTTCTGCATACCCTCTCCTCCCTGGGTTTTTGTGACTGCACTCTCTTGGTTCGCTTCCTACTCATCAGCCCTCTCATCCGTCTCTTTTGCTGGCTCTTCATCTGTGTCATGCCTACTAGATGGGAGTGTCCCCATCTATTTTTTTCCTCTCTCATTTAGTGATATCACCAGCTTCCATGGGTTCAATTATTATCTCTATATAGGTAATTCGGTGATGACAGGCAGTTAGATGACCCAGTGGATAGAGTGCTGGGCTTAGAATCAAGAAGACTCATCTTCCTGAGTTCAAATCTGGCCTTAGACTCTTACTAGCCTTGCGACCCCTGGGCAAGTCACTTAATCCCTGCTTGCCTCAGTTTCTTCATCTGTAGAATGAGCTAGAGAAGAAAATGGCAAACCACTCCCATATCTCTGTCAAGAAAATCCCAAGCCTTGGAGTCAGGAGGACCTGAGTTCAAATCCAGTCTCAAACACATAACACTTACTAGCGGTGTGACCCTGGGCAAGTCACTTAACCCCGATTGCCTCATCAAAAAGAAAAAAAAATCCCAAAATGGGGTCACCAAGAGTCTGAAACTACTGATCAACAGCAGAAAAATCATGTTCTCATCACCTGAACTATTGCAATAGCCTTCTCATTGGTCCTCCCGTCTCAGGAGTCTCTCCACTCCAAATCACCCACCACTCAGCTACCAAAGTGATTCTCCTAAAATATAGATCCTAAAACATGTCACCTTCCACTCATTAAACTCCAGTGACTCCCTATGTTTGACATTTAAAGCTCTTGACAACTTCACACCTTCCTACCCTTCTAATCTTCCTACCGTCTTACCACCCCTGCCTCCCTCCCCTCCACGTACTCTGTGATCCAGTCATACTAGTTTATTTCCTGTTACCCAAACTCTTCACTCCTATCACTTGGTCTTAGCACTAACTGTTAACCATGGCTGAAATAGTCTCCCTCCCAACCTTTGAGTCTAAGAATCCTCAGCTTGCTTCAGGAGCCAGTTTAAGGGCCACCTACTCCAGGAGGCCTTTCTTGCCCCATCCCTATCCCCAGCTGCTAGTGCTATGCCCTTTGTATTTATTATAATAACTATGTGCCAGGGACTGTACTATGTACTTTACAATTATCTCATCTGATCCTCACTTACCTTGAGAGGTAAGTGCTATTATTATCCCCATTTTACAGATGAGAAAACTGAGGCAAACAAAGGTTAAGTGACTTACCCAGGGATACACAGCTGTTAAGTGTCTAAGGCTAGATTTGAACTCAGGACTTCCTGAGCTGGAGATGGAAATGGCAAACCACTCCAGTATCTTTGCCAAGAAAACACCAAATGGGGTCATGAAGAGTCGGACAGGACTGAAAGGAATGAACAACAACCTCCTAATGGCAGACCTAGCAGTCAGTCTGTCTTGCATGTTCCTACTTGCATAGGCTATCTCCTCCATTAGAACATAAGCTCCCTGAGGGCAAAAACTGTTTTTACTCTTTCTTTATATCCCCAGCACTCAACACAGTGCCTGGTATATAGCAAGCGTAAACATAAATGCTTACTGATTGGTTCCAGAGAGTGTCCTCGCATCTCCTGCCTTACTGGGCCTCAGAGCATTGCTACAAAGTTGAGAAACTGGGAGGTTTCTTCCTCTTCCACTGCTGGAGAGCGTAAGGCCACAGGATCGGGATCCTACAGTGAGCCAGCCATTGGCTGAACCGGAGCTAGAACCCAGGCTCTCTGCCTCCCCACCCCCGGTTCTGTAGGCCGAAGGACCTCGCTCTGTCCCCCGCAGGGTAACGTCTGACTGACTTACTGCCTTAGCCACTAATATCCCCTTAACCCTTTGTCCCCTCAGGGAAGCGACAGCGAGTATGAGGTAGACCAGAACCACCAAAAGGCCCACTCCTTTGTCAACCATTACATCAGTGACCCCACCTACTACAACTCGTGGAGACGGCAGCAGAAGGGTATCTCTCGGGCCCAAGCCTACAGCTACACAGAGAGCGACTCAGGGGAGCCGGAGCAGGGCACCGTCGCTAACAACAGCGGCACCCAGCAGGGCAGCCTCTTCCGTCCCAAAGCCAGTCGGACTCCAACGCCTCAGAACTCTGCCAATCCCCCCAGCCAACAGAGCACGCTCTACCGGCCCCCCAGCAGCCTAGCTCCTGGGTCCCGGGCCCCTATCGCTGGATTCTCATCATTTGTTTGAAGTTGGAAAGGAAAGGAAGAAATGGTACAAGATAAGTCCTCCTCCTCCTCACCTCCCCTCTTCCCTCTCCTAAAACAAAGCAAAACTCAGCGTCGAGTTGACTTTTCACCTCCCAACTTTATTTTTCCAGAGATTCCAGGGGCTAGCAAAACCTAATCATGAAAGGGAAGAGAGAAAGGAAAGAAAAAAAAAAAACAAGCAGATATGTGCTGTGGAAGACAATCGATCAATCCTAGTTAAGGTTTCTAGGCGTTTGCTGCTTTGAGGGTTGCACAGAGATGAAGAAGAGAGCCCAGTGTCCACAGGGTAGCAAAGTTCAGTCCAGACCCCTACAGAGACGGGGAGAGAAATGAGAAAACTAAGAAGCAGTTAGTTGGGACGCTAAACCCTTCTCCGCTGCAGAGCACAGGATGACTGTCCCTGGCCTCCATCCCCCTTCTCCTTTCACTCTGACACTTGGGGTACAGTGTTGGGACATGGAGTTGCCAATGCCCACACCAACATTTGCTGCCTTTCTCCACCAAGATGGGAATTCTTCAAGCCAAAGCCCCACCTTTCTCCATCCCCTCTTACCCTGGGTGGCTTTGCTAATTCCTCAAGGGTAGGTTGGGGTGGAGTCAAAATGGATAAAAGAGGAGAGGGGTGGGGAGAGACCATGGTCCATTAGCTTGATCCTCTGAGGGTCTGGGAAACTAGACAATGTGAGGACTCAGGGTGAGTGGTCTTTGGGCAGAAGATACTGGGCTCTATATCTATAGCCTTCAGAGTGCTGTCAAAGCCAACCCTGGGATAGGCCCCTTTTCCTCCCTGTATGTGCCCATGCTCTGGTCTTCCCTGGATGAGGCTCTGGTTCAACTCCCCACAAGTTTTTTGTTTGTTTTTTTGTTTATATTTTTTTTTAATGAGAAACAAATGAACCTCAGGAGGCAGCCCAGCTAGCTCTTTTTACCTATTGTTAAGCAAGCAAGTGGGGGGCTGGGTTAGAGGACCTGGCAGCTAAGTCCTATAATTACTTTACTTGAATTGTATGTCTTGAGTGCAGGCTTAGGAGGGATAGAGGCTGTCAGGGAGCTGGGATGCACCACTGCAATGAAGGCATGGTTCACTGGAGAAGATGCGGATGGAGAATGTCAGTTTGTTGAGATTAAGGATGAAGCTTTGATTCCTCATCCTTCCTTCCCTGTGTTTGCCCTGACCCCTAAAAAAAAGAAAAGAAAAAGAAGGGAAGGTTCCCCAGGAGAACTATTCTGGAGAAGTGAGAAACCAAAAATGTAAAAAGTGTTCCCTGGATCTGGGAACTGGGTGGGAGCCTGGGGTCCTCACCTGGGCAAACACTGGCTTCTGGTGTTCATCCTACAGGCTCATCATACAACCTCCTTCCATGTGGAAGGAGCACCCTTATCACAGCACAGAATGGGAAATTGGGAGAAGGAGAGGCTGGGCTTGGTATTCTGAAGGGTAGTCAAAGCCGTCTGTTTTTAGAACAGAAATCACTTGGATTTCTTTTATTAGCATAGCAAAACAAACAGACATGCACATTGGTGTCTCATTTTTCTGTGTCTTATGCACACACATATATACATACCACAAACACACATACATGCATACATGCATACATACATGCATACATACATTCAGTGCCTGCCCAGGAGTGAGGCCTGAGGAAGCTATGTTAATTCCCTAACTATCTCCTCCTCCCGGTAGGCAGAAGAAAAGGACAGAAGGAATGGTCAGATCTGTACACAGAAACAGAGTTATGGCAGGGAGAGATTAGGTCATTCCCAACAAAGGTACATACTATTTGCACATTTCCTTAAAATACCCCATTTACAAAGATCCAAAGACCTCTCTAGAGGGGAAAAAAATTACCTTTGAGATAAATGGGAGAAGCTGGCCACAGGGTGTGAGAAGTCCCCTGGAATCAGCCCTAGAAAAGGGCAGCCAAGAGGATGACCTGGGGGACAAGAATAGTTGACAGGGGGGTGAAAATCCTTTTCCAAAAAACTACCCACTTGGAAGAATGTTCTTTTAAAAAACTACTTTCTTTGGCTTCTTGGATATTCTCACCAGTTTGTCATGTCCAGATGCAATGTGTCTGTAGAACAGTAGAAAGGGGGAACCACACCCGATTCCTATCCCAGAGCGCCCAGGGGCTAGGGAAGGGAGGGTGGACATCCTCACGGGAGCCATCAAGGTCTGGGATTCCAATGTCACTACTTTATAGGGGGACAGGTGAGAACTCGGTGTGCCTCTGGAAAGCTGACTGGAGAATGGAGCCCAGTGGCTTCTTGGTGGTAACAGTGGCTGGTGAGATGACTTGGGGATAATAGAAAAACCCATCAGAATATTAGAAGGTATGAAACTGGATTAGCGCAACTACATTCTGGGCCCACATCATAAGAAGCCCTAAAGGGGACAGGAAGAGGGAATTGAAGCCCTACCCACCCTAAGAAATGGACAAGAGACAAGCCCTGGGGAATATACAGACGGTCCTGGGATGTCACTGTGACTGCAGACTGGTTCAAATAGTCGGCCTTTTCCATACTGACCATCCCTCTAGCAATGACAACTGATGGGGCAGAATTAACCATTGTTGTTTTAGGAACAACTTAGATCCTGGCAAAATGTGAAGGAAATGCTGTTGGGGACCAGGGGAACAACTTAGCTGTCAGGTTGTCTGTGTACCAGGCGTCAAGCTGGCTGGCAGAAGATGGTTCAGAGATGGTTGTAGGAGAAAGAACTTCCCTAAGGAAAAGGTGTGGTAGAATGGAAAAGACAAAGAACCACAAAGCAGAGGTCTAGGGAGTTTTGTTATTGTCGTCGTTGTTTTAAACCTGGGTGTTAAGCTTAGTGAAGGCCCTCTTTGGCTTTGAGAAAGAAAGAACAGAAATAACCAGCATGGGATTCAGGTCTCAGAATGCCCTTCCCCCAGCCCCACATCAAGCATCCCACCATCTCCATGGCAACACATCTGCCACTGTCCCCATTTGATCATTCTGCTTTTTCTTTTCTTCTCTCTCTCATTAAAAAGAAAAGGAAAGAAAAAAAAAATAACCCTCTTCTTTTCCCAACCTGCAATGTATTTGGGCCTCTTAAAGAAGTTTCCAGTTAATGTTAGGGAATGATTAAAACTTCATTCCATTTAGAAAATTGTGAACTTTTTAAATATAAAAATATGGGTATATGTATACAGATATATATTATGCACATAATATATAACATATGTATGTATATATACACATATGTATCTTATACAGCCAAATTTTCTTTTTTTTTTAATGTGCTCACATTTTTAAAAAAAAAAAATCAGACCTGTGATTTCATTTCTACAGGAAGCTGCTAGTGAAGAACTTTTCCTACCAAGGTAGATTAGCACCTTCTCTGCATTTATAGTCTTAAAGCTGCCTGAGACTCTGAAAGGCAGTACTCAAACCCAGGTCTTCCTTACCCTGAGGCCAGCTGTCTTTTTCTTATACCACACTGCCTCTGTACACAAAAATATACAAACTTGCAATCACACACACACATACACACACACACAAACATATATACAACCCTCATCTGACCTCATGCTAACACCGTCCAGTGCTTCCTTGGGGAAAGAAAATGCAACAGCCCAGATAGTGCTCACCTGCCTTTCTTGGACAAGGCACAGGTAGCTAGGCAGCTACGAGGCTGGGCCAAAATTAGTGTTTGAGATTTGTAAGGACAAGGAACAGACCAGAAATATCAGTGGGATCAAGCTAGCCCAAAGGTGAGTCTTCTTCACAGACCAAATGCCCACACATCGGGAAATTTGCCTTTTGCTAGTTAGAGGCGCATATGGGAACCCAGGTTTCTGGCATCTGGAACACCATATTCTCCAAAAGAAGTTCCTCTCCACCCCTGTTTACATATATCACTAAGCTGGAATGTGCTTACTCTCTTCCTTCTCCCAGATAACTGTCTCAGGCAAGTGGGTGGTATAGGGTACTGAACAGCATCCCAAGTAAGCCCGCCTTAGATGCCATATCCTACTTGGACTAGGTCTGGGAAGGGATGCCAATGTTACCATCCACAAGGGTCTAGGAGAAGCATATCCCATCTAGAGACTGAACCATGTCACCCCATGGCTTCATGTGCTCATGACCTATGGATGACCCCACCTAGCTAAGGGAAACAAAGTCACTCACCTGTGTTGGCATCACGGAGCCCATTTATTGGGATTCCTTCACTCCCTCTTGTACAGAGGATCAGCCACGCACAAGGACTGCCAAGATGAACCAAATATTCCTACCTTGGATTCCAAAAGCACCTTTTCCCCTGAGTGTAGGGGTATTTCCAGGCACAGGCCTAGCTCTAGTGGTGAAGATCTCAAGAGGTCGTCAACCACTCTTCTTCCTACTCACCACTGCCATCATTTAGAAGAGATAGAAAAGGATACTGTCTTAAGATAGTCTCCAGCTCAACCTGCCTCAGCCCAGCTCCGCCCTGCCCAGCTCATGCTGCCCTGTGGCCTTCTGACATTGTCCACACCACTCCTAGGGCAGTGATTTTAAAGGTGCCAGAGCCCCACCCCTGGGAGGGGACTCCCTTTATCCTTGGTGTCTTCATTGTGCCAAGATCAACCTAATTGCCCTCTGGGGGTCAGCAAGTCCTTGGAGGGAACAGAGCTCAAGGGGAGGAGGGATAGGGAGCATCTCAGAAGCCATCTGAGTGGCCAAAGTCAACTCTGTGAGTCCTGTTACATGGTCGTATTCATAGTCATACCTGGTGGCAACCAAACAGGCAAATTGAAAGAGGTGACTTTGACCTTTGCCAGAGTCCAGCTCCCACTGTGGACTGCCAGCAGGCAGGTCAATACCAATGCCCCCCCTTCCCCGCTGTCCAGACCTTTGTGATATGCTTGTGTGTCCCCTCCGAAGAACCCAAAGTGTTTGAACATGTTATTTTTCTTTACTCTCACATTCACTCTGAAAAAAAAGGAAAAACAAAATCAGCAAAAATCTTTATTTTTGATTTAAAAGAGATGATAAAAAAAATATGAGGAGAGTATTTAATCATGGCAGGTGTCTGTAAGAAAAAAATATATATCTATATGTCATATAGCTTGTTAGCAGGTTTATTTTTTAAATGAAAGGCAAGGGGAAAAAAATGGTTTGAAATACAATGCCACAAGATGTCTCATGTCCTGTCAAACTGTCAGCATTTTCTAAATAAATTTTTTTTTTGAGATTTGGTGAATTTTTCATTCTTTAGCGCACCCCAGGTCATATTGGGAAATGTCATGTTGACCATAGGCCTTTCTTATTGCATCGGTGCCTTAAACAGGGCTGGGAATTGGGGGAAGGGTCAAAGAAATCAATCATTCTCAGAACCCTGGCAGCTGAACAATCAACTTCAGATTAACTCCTTGAGATTAGGGTCAGATCTATAAATAAGTTCAAAGGTCTGGCCCGTATTCTTACTATGTTCTCAGATATGATGGAATATATACTTAACTGGGAAAGGCAGAACACTGTGGCCTTGAAGCTAGGAGGATCTGAGTTCAAGTCTGCTTCTGACACAGACTGGCTATGTGACCTTGAACAAGTCATTTAATCTCTGAGTGCTCTAAGCAACTCTCTATTGACTGTAAGTTTCAGAGAAAGTGCCAACCTGAATCGGTAGAGGAAGTTGAAAGTTCCCTGTACCAATGAAATCACAAGGCCATACTTAACTGTGCCAGCAGGATGCTCAGACTGGGCCTCACCTAGACCGCATCCTAGTGGGATCCACCTCAGGGTAGGTCTGGTCCTGAACTCCTCATACTCAAGCATTTGATTTTACCAGCGTTCCCAGACGTGAGGACACTCTGAAGAACCAGACTCATTAAC